GACTCATGAAGATCAACTGTGACTTGGCTTGACTCATGAAAATCAGCTGTGACTAGACTTGACTCATGATGATCAGACTTGACTCATGACGATCAGCTGTGACAAGACTTGACTCATGACGATCAGCTGTGACTAGACTTGACTCATGACGATCAGCTGTGACTAGACTTGACTCATGACGATCAGCTGTGACTAGACTTGACTCATGACGATCAGCTGTGACTAGACTTGACTCATGACGATCAGCTGTGACTAGACTTGACTCATGACGATCAGCTGTGACTAGACTTGACTCATGACGATCAGCTGTGACTAGACTTGACTCATGACGATCAGCTGTGACTAGACTTGACTCATGACGATCAGCTGTGACTAGACTTGACTCATGACGATCAGCTGTGACTAGACTTGACTCATGACGATCAGCTGTGACTAGACTTGACTCATGACGATCAGCTGTGACTAGACTTGACTCATGACGATCAGCTGTGACTAGACTTGACTCATGACGATCAGCTGTGACTAGACTTGACTCATGACGATCAGCTGTGACTAGACTTGACTCATGACGATCAACTGTGACTTGGCTTGACTCATGAAGATCAACTGTGACTTGGCTTGACTCATGACGATCAGCTGTGACTAGACTTGACTCATGATGACCAGCTGTGACTAGACTTGACTCATGACGATCAGCTGTGACAAGACTTGACTCATGAAAATCAGCTGTGACCAGACTTGACTCATGAAAATCAGCTGTGACCAGACTTGCCTCATGAAAATCAGCTGTGACCAGACTTGACTCAGGGCGATCAGTTGTGACTTGACTAGACTCATGAAAATCAGCTGTCACTAGACTTGCCTCATGACGATCAACTGTGACTTGGCTTGACTCATGACGATCAGCTGTGACTTGACTTGACTCATGACGATCAGCTGTGACAAGACTTGACTCATGAAAATCAGCTGTGACCAGACTTGACTCAGGGCGATCAGTTGTGACTTGACTAGACTCATGAAAATCAGCTGTCACTAGACTTGCCTCATGACGATCAACTGTGACTTAACTTGCCTCAGGAAGATCAGCTGTGACTTAACTTGATTCATGAAGATCAACCATGACTTGACTAGACTCATGAAGATTAACTGTGACTTTACTCATGAAGATCAGCTGTGACTTGACTTGACTCATGACAATAAACTGTGACTTGACTCATGAAGATAAGCGATGACTTGACTTGATTCATGAAGAGCAGCTGTGACATAATGGGGTGTGGTTGCGTCCGCCATTTTGCGATCAAACTCCGTTGTCGCCACCATTTTGTGAGCATGCTCTAGTGTGGCCGCCATTACACAAGTGGACTCTGAGTCATGTTTCTCTGCAACCCCCACCGTGAACACGGAGTCGACACACAGCTGAGCAAAATCCAAAATGTGGTGCTGTATGGCTGACCTTAGCTGTGAGCACATTGTTGTTGTTCTTCAGACTGGCCTGAGATGCAGCAAAATCCTCTACTTTGCCAACACTCCACTTAGAGAAGAAGAACATGGGCAAACTAGGGTCTTTAGCCTCTTTGGGCAGAAACACCTGGAAATATGTCCGTTCTGTCTGCAGAGGAGGAATTTCTGATGTAATACTTGTCATAAATGAATGCAAAGGAAGGTACTTTGTAATACAAGTTTGGCTCTGATACCTGTGGCAGGTCTTTATCTCCTGACGCATGCATTTTAAGCTTCATCAGAGCAACTTTTGCAGCAGTTGCTGCGTTTTTTGCTCCTTTTCTGCGTTTACTTGGTGGTGCATTCTTCTTTGACTCTGTTGGAAGTATTGTGGAGATTATTCTTTAGCTTCCTAAGAATTATTTGGCAACACAAACTCTTCAATATTAGACTCTACTGCCCTCATGTGGATATGAAGAGTATGTACACCAAACAGCAGGAGACAGCAATGCAAATAACTTGAATCCAAGATAAAACAGTGTACTTTGCAGTGTACTGCTAAAATTCTGCTAAAAAAACTGACCCACTATCTTCTGCACCAGCTCCTGTGTTGCAGCAATGCGAGGCTTTGGTGTCTCCAGTTTCTCACACTTATGGTCATCTTGATGCCGATGTCTGAGACCAGAGGAAAACTGTCAGGTATAGATGAGCACAGCATTTTAGATAAGGACACAACACTTAGTACACCAGTTGCAATGGTTATATTCACAAAACATTATTTCAATGAGGTTTTATCTATTGTTTTCCCACTATAGTCTCTGTCCATTAGGTGAGACTTCAGCAGTGTCAGAGATGTAAGGTATGTTTGTAATAGTATTTATATGTGAGGCAGAGGTGTTTTTCAAAGTGTGGGCGGATGACAGGCAGCCGCTCTTTCTCTTTGCAATCCTCAAAGCTACATGGATATGATGTGCTTCTATGGGATGATATTAGGCTCAAAATTATTAATAGATGCACGCACAATTATCCATGTACTGCATACATTTTATACATGTATCTTACTAACCACAAACAAGTACCTTTCAAATTGAGTCTGGAATTCAGGAGTAAATGATTGTGCAGCTATTTTTACAAATACAGACATGTTTGTGAATAAAAATGTTCTGTTCTGCATTAATATATCATAAATTGCTCATGCAAAAAGGAATCCATGCATATGTGGATCAGGTGACACGCGTGCATTAATTGACGTCTAGTTCGAGTCGATCTTGTTCGGCTCATTTGGATTTTGATACTTCATTTTCGCAGTTTACAGCATTTCACGTCCCCCACACACACAACTACCAACGAACAAGGTCCAGTGCAATTCATTAACGTGTACACGTTTTGAAAAATTTGCGTTACTACACTGAAACAAATGCTTTTCAACCGGTGTCAGCAGAGTTAATAATTACATTAATGTGCAGCATTTTGTTCGAATAGAGACATATTTGTGAATACAAATGTTATAGTTTGTATTAAAGTATCATAATTTGTGCATGTTGCGATTAAAATGTGCATTTGTGGATCGGGTGACAGGGATCTGAGTCGATTCTATTTGATTCATTTGAATTTTGAGACTTTCTTTCCGCCTTTTTAGCCTTGCCCAAGCAGCTGAAACACAAAGTCAGCGACCACTAGATGGCACTAGCCCCACTCACATGTGTGCATGCCATTGTGTACAGTTTTATGAATGTTACATTGTGTTTTCTTTGTTTCTTTTTGGTTTGGCTATTCTCCTCTACCGTAGAAATATAATAAAGATGTTTTATTGAACTTGTTCTAACTTAACTTGTCTTAAGAGACAGAATAGCTTATATTAATTTTGCCAAACAGATCGTGACGTACCTTGTTTTTTTTCTGTAATTCAACGGCACGTTGTCAAGTTATTCCTTCCTTATATTATTATTATCATTTTGAGTCTAATTTCATTCCATATGCTTCCCCCAGACCCAGAGATTGTTTTCACCAGCACCTGAAAGAATTAAGAGAATCATCTGTAACAGCCATTTAAACCCCAGGAATCAGTCAAATAAACATACATGCATACATTTATATACATTTACATTTATATTATGTATGTATGTATGTGTATATAGTTACTCTTAAAACTGTTACTCTTTTATTTTTTGGATCAACTGGGGATCGTGTTAACTGGGGATGTGCGCGTGCGCGCAAGTGTGTTTACCTGAATTTCCAGCAGATGTTAGACGGCGACAGATTCGTCACTGCGATATTCCAAATATCATAGATTAAAACCGTGTTTCACCAGTTGTATACATTGGTATCATGCATAATAAAGCGTTTTAGGGAAGTTTGCCATGCTCCCATGTCACGCTCACAAACCACGCCCACGTTAACATGGGACAGTCGTTTCAGTGGATGATCAAACTCTTTAACGAACTGAAGTAAAAATGTAAGTATTTTCTTTTCAATATTACTCTATCACATTGTGTCTGTAGTGTGCTGTCATGTGTTCTAATTAACAGATATAGATTAAGTTAAAATTAGCAGTTGGCTACCTAAAGCAAACAAGAATTGGAAAGTCCTTTGTTTTTATTGACAAGACTGCTGACCTGTAGTTTACTGTTGTTCTTAATAAAATTATTTATTTTCGGAGTGATTACATGTACAGGTGCATCTCAATAAATTAGAATGTCGTGGAAAAGTTCATTTATTTCAGTAATTCAACTCAAATTGTGAAACTCGTGTATTAAATAAATTCAATGCACACAGACTGAAGTAGTTTAAGTCTTTGGTTCTTTTAATTGTGATGATTTTGGCTCACATTTAACAAAAACCCACCAATTCACTATCTCAACAAATTAGAATACTTCATAAGACCAATAAAAAAATATTTTTAGTGAATTGTTGGCCTTCTGGAAAGTATGTTAATTTACTGTACATCTACTCAATACTTGGTAGGGGCTCCTTTTGCTTTAATTACTGCCTCAATTCGGCGTGGCATGGAGGTGATCAGTTTGTGGCACTGCTGAGGTGGTATGGAAGCCCAGGTTTCTTTGACAGTGGCCTTCAGCTCATCTGCATTTTTTTGGTCTCTTGTTTCTCATTTTCCTCTTGACAGTACCCCATACGTTCTCTATGGGGCTCAGGTCTGGTGAGTTTGCTGGCCAATCAAGCTTTATTGAGATGCACCTGTAAGCTTCAAATCGCGTATCGGGTAAGCAGCGCAATAAAAACGAAGCTCTGTGCCGGAGCGTGTATTGTTTTCAGAGAACCACGTGGTCAGCAGAAAATGAAGCCTCACTATCTGTCCAATCACGTGCGTGTGTCGGAATGTTCGAAACCCCAGATCTTACTTTAGGAGTAAGTTTTCATTCAGACTTATTCAATTACAATTGTAAATACCCAGCCATACAAGTAATATGAAGAAAAAAAATATTTGGCATATGCAATTCATATGTGTACATTATTCTTCTATTACATCATATTGATATTCATATTGGCATTTAGTGCCACAGTTTAATGGGTAAATTATTTTATCAGAGAGAGAATTTTAACACGCACACACACACACACACACACACACACACACACACACACACACACACACTTTTCACAGGCTTTTGGCTGCTACATTTTTTATTGACCACCAGATGGCGCTATGTTTGACACTCCCGAAGCTTTGAATCTTTTCCTGAAACAGTCAGAGGAAAGCCTCAGTGCTTCATGAGGCTTCATTTGCCCATCATAGTGTCTCCCCAGTATACTGTAGAATTACCACTGCATGGTAACACCATGGTATTCAATAAATACCAAAGACTATGGAATACCCAAGACGTGTCAAAGGCAAACCCCGCCTTCTGAATGAAAGAGCCAATCGCTAATCTGTAAAGTCAGCGCGTCACTGCAGCTGCCGTTAGAAGTCCCGTTTGCTATAGAAACAAGTCAGCGTTCTGAGACGTGCGCTTAAGACTGCGCATGCGCACTGGCAGACCTAGCCTGAAAAATAAGCTTTTTATAACGCTATTTGAGCAAAAGTAACAACATTTATGACACAGTTGTTGTCAGATTTCTTTGGTGATTACAAATACGAAATGTAACTATAAGCTTAGTGAACAGTTTTGGAGAATTTGATGTTTACCCATTCAGAGATAGTATTTGCACTTGCATGCCCGAGCAGCGTTTCAAAGATGGCCGCCGAGTGGCATGACTTGTCTTAAAAGGACTTTGATAAATACTATGGTAGTGAATGATATTCTTGTACCGTAGTATATTCATATGCCATTCCAAAAATGCCATGGTACCATAATGATAGAAAAATATAATAGGATATGATACCACCATAGTACTTTTTCTGTCCAGTCATTTTCTTGTCTTTGTTATTACTTCTATTTGTACCATTTAATTTAATTAGATGTGTTAATACAGATTTGAGATTAACTATTTATATTATAAATGTAGTGTCTTCAAAGTCAACAGCACAACATCTTACCAAAACACTCCAGAACAGCTGCTACATGCGAATGGTAGAAAATCTGCATTTAAACATAAAAAGTGATTAAAATTCGAATGATATTCCCTTTTTTATATAGAAATCTAATGAGTATGAGAGCAGATGACTGCTGCTGACTCACATCCCACTGATGTTACACACTAAGCCTATGTTTACAATGCTATTTGAATAAATAAAGACCCTGGAAATAGATTGTAATTTGTAATTTCTACTAGAAATAACTCTATTTTCACTGGTTTGGATGGCAAATTTTAAAAGAGTGTACCTTTTTTGTTGTTGCAAGATTTAATGTCACAACTGTTCCATTCTGTATTTCAACGGGCGTGTCTTCAGAGACGTTAGGCGTATTCGACATAAGCGGCGCTGCGCTGACCGATCGGTGCATGACTTCAAAGTATCGCGAGAGCTATAGAGAGCAGACAGCTTCGTGAATCGCTCTCGCGATACTTCATGTGATACACCGATCGGTCTGTGTAGCGCCGCTTCAAGTAGAATACACCTTTTCACGTGGAGCAATTTACTTGCGCACAAGTGTTGAATTTCAGGAAGAGTAGGATTGGATTATGTCGGTGTTTTGAATTGAACTTGACTTCAAGGATTGCCACTTTCTCTCGCGATCCTGTATCTGCCAGATGTTTTAAATCAGTTGGATCTTTAACTGGAATTAAAAGCAATACCTTCAAAATGAGTAAAATTTCAAAGATGTTTAAAGTTAGCTCATCAAGCTCATCCAGCTCCAGGCCTAGTTCTGGATCCGTTTCTAGATCTAAGCATCGGTCCCGGTCTGGTCCATCACCCCAGGAGGCCATCAACAGACTGAGAGAAACAGAGGCCATGTTAACTAAAAAACAGGAATACCTGGAGAGCAGAATCGAGCAGGAGATCATGATTGCCAAGAAGAATGGCACCAAAAACAAGATAGGTATGTTAAATAGGTCTTTCTGTTTACAACAGATGGGAATTATGTCATTTTTATCCTTTGTACCCAGAAATGTAATGAAAGTGATGGAATGTTTTGTTTGTCCTGATAAGGTTAATTTCTTATTTTTATTTTATTATTATTATTAATATTATTATTTACATTTACATGTAGTCATTTAGCAGACGCTTTTATTCAAAGCTACTTACAAATTAGGACAATAAAAGCAGTCAAAACTAACAAAAGAGCAACAATATATAAGTGCAAATGACAAGTCTCGGTTAGCCTAACGAAATTATTTGCCTATAAGTTGATGAATCGCAATCATGCTCTTCACTGACACTGTTGTGTTCTTCGTAAACAAACTTTTGAAATAATGAAATACAAACGGGGATAAAGTTGTTGTGGTGGAAATGACACCAGAACCGTGCGACATTCGTGTTATTTGTGCAAAGATTTATAAAAAATAATTTTCACAAATATTTACCAAAATGTTTTATTTCACTCGTCATTTAGATATTACAGTTTTAAAGATTATAGTTTAACAATGGAAAAAAATAATAATGGTAAACATATATATTTTTAGCATTTTTTTTAATCAGCTGTAAATGATTAAAAGCAAGGTGTCTGTTATATAATATGCTATTGAACGTGTCATCGTTTACATCTGGAAAGTGTAACACCCCACTGAAACGTGGGTGAAACATGGCTTTTGTTTATGTAGAGTGACACCCTGTCACTCATAAAGACATGCTGTTCATCGGGACACTCCTCATTTTACAGTTGTCTTTTGTGCATTTACACAAACATGTAGTTTACACCCAGAGGCCAAGGTGCATTCATTTAAAAGGCAGATTTTTATTTTTTAATTTTTTTGGGACTACACATCTTGGATTTCTATCTGATTTTTCATTTACTTTTTCATTTGATCTTGCAGAATTTACAAAAGAAAATATAATTTTGTAAAATTTCAGAAAAAATATAATTGAATCATTTAATTTTAGTAGTTTAATGTGGTGATGATGATGATGATGACAATAAGAAGCAACATTATTAGATCCTAACATTTTTTTTTAGCTGCACTTCAGGCTCTTAAGAGGAAGAAACGTTTCGAACAGCAGCTGACGCAGATTGATGGGACACTGTCCACTATTGAATTCCAGCAAGAGGCCCTTGAGAATGCCACCACAAACACAGAGGTTCTGAAGAACATGGGTTACGCAGCTAAAGCCATCAAAGGGGTTCACCAGAACGTGTGCGTGTCATCACTGGTTTTCTTTGCACTGCCATTGAGTTATATAAAAATCCAATTATCATCACTTATTACACAGCTCTCAGGAATAATTGATTTTAGTGGTCAATACTACAAAATGATGTTGTAATTTTTGTTTTATAAAGACGATAAACCCTATAAATGATTATTGCATACTGTTGCATAACTTTGACCAGTGGATTAAAACGTCAACCTACTGCTTCTCATTGTGTGCAAATGTCATCAGCTCTCATCAATCATTCTGTCTCTCTCACTTTCAGAGATCTGGATAAGATTGACTCCCTCATGCAGGACATTACAGAACAACAGGAAGTAGCTCAAGAGATCAGTGATGCCATCTCAAAACCTTTTGGTGATCAGTTTGATGAGGTAGATGTTATAAAAAAAAAGAGTAATTAATTTTCCCCACATTTAAAGTTTATAAGGGTGTTTGCTCTTGTTCATCATTTATTTATTTAATATTGCAGCTTTTAAAAAAGTTTCTGGTTATTTATAGCGGCATGTTTACGTTGATTTATGAAGTGATCTGTGCTCGTTTGTTTTTTTAGGATGAATTGTTGGCAGAGCTGGCAGAGTTGGAACAGGAAGAACTAGAAGAAAGTATGACGAATATGGGCAGATTACCAAGTGTACCAACCACCAAACTGCCCAGTGCAAGACCAAGCCACCGTGCAAGTAAGTATAAAGACACCCACACATTCTTTTAAAATTCAGCAAAAGACCAACCAAGCCTTTTACACAGTCTCCACTTCATCTAAATGTCTGTTATTTCACTCTTTCAGCCTCAAAGAAGAGAGTGGAGGACGATCATGACATGAAGAGGTTGTCTGCATGGGCTTCATAAGCAGCTGTACAAAATCTTTCTTCTTTTTGCTTTTTGTTAACTTGCACTCTTAGCTCTACATCCAAGAATTTGTGTCAAATTATAAGAGCTTTTTTATATACAAAAGTAGAGAAATTAAGCTAAACATTTGTGTTCAAGCTAATTATTTTGTTGTGTCTTGATCTTTAAGATGAAGGATTACTCTGGTGGCAACTTGGTGTAAATAGTAACATTTTATTAGTGAAGGACAATAAACTGTTGATTTATAAGTAAATGTAGAATCAGGGTTTGGTTAAAAAATAAACTTTATTTATTAAGTGCATGATTTAAAAGTGTGCTTACAATGTTGTAAAGTCTTGATTTTGACACACAATATATGTTCCAGTCCAGAATGCCCTTGAAGGGCACTTCGGGAAGGGGATACCATTTGTAGAGACGTTCCAAATGAACTGAATCCCTTCACGAAGGGCCCTTCCAGAAGTCCGTTAGCGAAGGGAACATGTGATGGTCACTTCACGGATGTGGTTTCCGTTTGTGATCATGTGATCTTTGGTTAGGAGATCTTGCGATGCATTTTAAAGCAAAGTTGGGGTTGATTTCGACTTCACATACAAATGTAAGTAGAATAGGCTAATTAAGATTACTAAACTACAGTCATGGCCAAAAGTTTTGGCAGACATAAATTGTGTTTTGCATAGTTTGCTGCTTCAGTATTTGTAAATTATTTTTCCACATGTTTCTATGGTATACTGAAAAACAATGATAAGCATATCATAAGTTTTAAAGGCTTTTATTGGCAAACAAATATAATGAGTCAGTATTTACAGTGTTGACCCTTGTTCTTCATAACCTCTGCAATTCGCTCTGGCATGCTGGATATTAGCTTCTGGGCCAAATCCTGACTGATGGTGATCCATTCTTCTTGCCTTATTAGTTCTTGGAGTTGATCACAATTTGTGGGCTTCTGCTTGTCCACTCGCCTTTTGAGGACTGACCACAGGATCTCTATGGGATTGAGATCCGGGGAGTTGCCTTGCCACGGATCCAAAATTTCAATGTAATGATCTTCGAGCCACTTCTTTATCACTCTTGCTTTGTGACATGGTGCTCCATCATGCTGGAAAATGCACGGATCATCACCAAATTGCTCATGGATCGTTGGAAGTAGTCGCTCTTGCAGGATGTTTTGATACCATTCTTTATTTATGGCAGTGTTTTTGGGCAGAATTATGAGAGAGCCCACTCCCTTGGTTGAAAAGCAACCCCCCCACATGGATGGTCTCAGGATGCTTCACTGTTGGCACAACACAGGACTCATGGTAGCGTTCACCTTTTCTTCTCCAAACAATCGATTTTCCAGATGTCCCAAACAGTCGGAAGGGAGCTTCATCAGAGAAAATAACTTTGCACCAGTCTTCTGCTGTCCAATTCTTGTACTTCCCGCAGAACTTCAGTTTGTCCTTGACGTTTTTCTTGGAGAGAAGTGGCTTCTTTGCTGCCCTTCTTGACACCAGGCCGATGTCCAAAAGTCTTGGCCTCACTGTGAGTGCAGATGCTCTCACACCAATCTGCTGCCATCCTGAGCAAGCTCTGCACTGCTGGAGACACGATTCCGTAGCTGACTCCTCAGGAGGAGACGGTCCTGGCACTTGCTGCACACTCTGAGACGCCCTGAAGACGTCTTCACTGCAGTCGAACCTCTCTCCTTGAAGTTTTTGTAATCCGGTAGATGGTTCTTTTTAGGTGCAATATTCTTTGTAGCAATTTCCTTGCATGTGAGGCCATTTTGATGCAAAGCGATGATGGCTGCACATGTTCCTTTGGAGGTAATCATTGCTAACAAGAACACAATGATTGGGAAGCGCTTCTTCCCTCCACTGCTCAGGGTGTGTGTTCACAGTGTGTGTGTGTTCACTGCTGTGTGTGTGCACTTTGGATGGGATAAATGCAGAGCACTAATTCTGAGTATGGGTCACCATACTTGGCCACATGTCACTTCACTTCACTTTATAGCAATCAGTCTGCTCTTACAATCTAATTAGTATGATAGTGATTAACCTGACTAGTACTCATTCACTCTTTCATATGTGCTGCTGATATGATTAGTCAATTAATGTTAGCTGGTCATTTAGGTCAGGATCAAAAAACTGAATTTTTTTTCTTGATAAAGTTCATTTTTCGGTCAATGAAGCTTTTTAGCAATTATTTAAAATGCATCTGGTCACTCTCTACACAATAATCTAGAAACAATGTGAATGAACACCACTTTTGGCAATGACTGTATAGTAACCATGGCACTACCGTGTTCTTGGACAAGTTCAGAGCTCGTCTGAACTCTCATTTCCGCTAGATGGCCTCGTGAGCTGAGCTCTCTGAGTGCGACTCGTTTCGAATCGGTTCATTTGAATCATATGTTTTAAAGAACTTGTTCAATAACGTTTTTTGTTTTTAGTGAAGTGTCCCATTTCAGTTCAGCCATTGATAAAACTATAAAGTGTTTAAACAACACTAAAATGTTTGTCATCTTTCTCAACATGGGCATAAACATATTTCCTTATTTTGTTTGCAACAATTGTTCTTCATGCGATTGTTCTTCATTAGTTTACTCGAGAGCCGTTCATTGGTGCGTTTCAACTAGCAAGTGCCGTCGTAGAGTTCAGTGGAACTAATTTTTGCTAACGATTAATTTTTGAAAACGCACCTCAGACTAGTTCAAATGATTCAATGAAAAGATCCAATTCAAAAAACGAATCAGATTCGGACACCCCTCTCCCTCTCTCTCTCTCTCTCCCTCTCTCTCTCTCTCTCTCTCTCGCCCCCTCTCTCCCTCC